CCCCCCCCCCCCCCCCCCCCCCCCCTTGCCAACATGCGGATCACTCAGTATCTGGCACTTCAGACGTTTTAAGTTTGAGGTGGTCCACACGCTGGGGGCACAGATGGCTGTGGTGGATTTCCTCTCTCGGCATGGGTGGGGGGAGTCGGTGGCAGGCTGGACCGCTCCCCGGCCTGAGTCAGGGTTGTATGTGGAAGTGGGGGCTTGGTCGAGCACCAGTTTTGTGAATGGAGGGCGGGGCTGGGAAAAGTGAGTGGTAAGGAGCTATACCTGAGCGGGATTTGTCTAAAGAGTGTTCTGTGTTTCAGTGAGCGGCAGCAAGGATAAAGAGGTGAGAGACGAGAGCCATGAGAGAGAGAGAGAGATCTAAGCCGCAGAGCCATGTGTGTGCGCCTGTGAGTGCAGAGTGAAAGATAATCGCTGAAATTAGAAGATTGGGTAATAAAGAGCCCCTTTTTGAGTTGTCCCAAGCCTGCCTGCCATCTCCTCATTTCCGGTCCACCCAGAAAAGTGTCACACAGCCATTTGGACTTAAATTCTGCCCCATATGTATGACTAGGCCACAAACTTTGCAGACATCCTCTGAACCTTGTAGTGAGCATCTATTTCCAGTTTGGTTCAAATCCAAGTAAACCAGCTCTGCCTCATGAGAATTGATTGAAATATGTAGGCTATATAGTTTATAAATCACACACACTGTCAGTCCCTAGAGGACTAGTGGTTAGGCTACAGGGCTCTCACCGCTATGGCCTGGGTTTGAGCCCCGGCCAGGGAACCATCCCAAGCCACGGGGTTGTGTGAAACAGTGTGTTCTCAGTACCACACCCAAACCTAGATAAAGTTTGGGAGGGTTGCCTCAAGAAGGGCATCCAGCGTAAAAACTGTGCCAAATCAAATATGTGGACCAATGATCCACTGTGGTGACCCCTAAGGAGAGCAGCTGAAAGAGGAACAACAACATTAAGTATCGCACACCCCTGAGAAGTTTGAAATCAGTTTTGTCAAGACTACCAAAAATCTTGGAACTATTTTGCAGCAGAGAGTTTAGCATCCCTGATAGCAAAACTACTCTGGCCCTGATCTGGCCAAAACCTTTCCCAAGACGCAGATGCAAGTGCAGATTGGTGTCTATTAGAGTGAAACACACAAAAACAAAGACTATGAACATGAAAAAAAAGCAAGAACTAGATACACATGGCAAGAACATGAACACAACATTGACTGTGACATACAACATGACTACAAAAGACAAAAGCTACACACTGAGACACACAGAATCCAGAACTTAAATAGTGACACTAATTAGGTGAAACAGGAATCAGGTGCAGGTGATCAGTGAAGCACGTGACTTGATCATGTGATGTGCTGGGGCTGCTGGGAAGTGTAGTTCTGCACCGTATTCAGCGCTATCAGGAAAGAACTCCCTTAACACACGATTCCCAATACGTAATATGCAGTTCGGAGGGGGTCCTGGACAACCAAGCAAAACGTCTCCTTGCTGATGGAGGCCCTTAGGCCAACAAGGTCCATGGGGAGTGATTTACTTAGCAGAGCAGGCAGGAGATGCAATGTATTCACAAAGTTGTGAGGCAGCGCTACAGCCACCACAAAGCTAGCGGGGAGAGCAGCGCTCAAAGCAGAGCCAGAGAGCATGTCGCTGAGCGAGCTGGGTGGGGTAGTGACATCTGAAGCAGAGCCGGGTGGTGCAGTGATCTCCTCGGTGGAATAGCACTTAGAGACAGCTGCTAAGCAGTGATTGGTTGAGCATCATTATCAATCAAATTTTGCAAAAGGTCAATTAATATACATGAAATTCATCTGGGGGCTGGATAAAAACCACAATCGGGCCAATCCCAGCCCACGATCGTATGTTTGACACCTCAGGTTTAAGTGTTCCCAACACATGACTCTCAGTTAATGCACACTTAATATTTACATTATATTCTGTCCAGATTTTGTCTAAAACACATGTAAGCAGTACATGAATGTCCAAATGTAGGTGGCTTGAGCTATGCATTGGGCTTTCTGCCTGAGGTAGTGTTACTGGATCAATCTGACCATAGTAGCTAAAGTTTGACAGCTACTAATCATCTTACTCATTATCTACAGATTAAAAAAGATGCCAAAACGAAGTTTGCAATGCATAACCAATAGCTTTATAGCTTTTATTCTACTTTTTTAATGGTCTATATTTTTGGGCGAAAGGTGCAGGCCACCTAGTGTGTGAGCAGGCTGATAAATAATGCTCACATTCCGTGTACCTATGTACAGAATGATTGAGCATATTGGTTGTCAACTAAGCATAAATTAATTTTGTGTAATTAATATTGAGGCTGTAACCCGAATCTATAGGTGCATGAATAGAGTATTCAGGGTGGTGATGTGAGAGCTTAATCTGCCACAAATGTGCAGTAACAGATTGATATAGGCACTGGATCTGGGCTAAATCCTCTAAATGGAGTTGATTGTTAGAATGTGCAGAAAGAAAAGCAGATCTGGATCCGAGTTGTCTGCTGTCTGGGTATCTGATTCCAATTTTTAGTGTGTCAAGAAACAAACTAACCTAAAAAGAATTCTCACTCTAAAGCTTATTTTCCGAACGATATGATTGTCTTTGTGTGCAAAACATGAATAGCACCCCCCCAGTGGCCATTTTTAATGTGTCAGACAGTAGTACATACCTCATCCTACTATTCAAGTTATGTGACAATAGCTCAGTGTTAACCCTGTCAAATGCCTGATGAAATCTGATTGGCCGATGATGGCCATGTTTTTTTTTTTTTAACTAATTAGGTCAACATCAAAAATCCACTTTACAGATTATCATATTGACGCACCATACCAGAATTCAGCTCGGTTGGACTTATAGTTATCTGAAATTAGCTCTGCCCTCTTTGTATGACCATGCTCCAATCTTTGCTTTTAACCTCAAAATCTTGTTCAAGTTTCATGCAAATCCACGCAAACACTCATAATTTACAGCTGTTTGAGTAAATTAGCATTATGAAATGCCTATTAAAATCTTATTGGCTGCAGGTGGCCATTTTTAGAAGCAATTAAATGATGATTAAAAATCCAGTTACAGATTAGCAGATTGATGCAGCATAATAAATTTTAGCTCAAACGGACTTATAGTTCATAAGAAAGAGCTATTTGAACCTTAGTCTGCCCTTTTCAATGACCACACTCCAACTTGAGCAGACATTCTCCAGAAACTTGTACTGAACATGACTTTCAAATTTGGTTCAAATCCATATTAAATCCAATCATAAATTGGTTCAAATCCATATTTAAATCCAATCATAAATTACAGCTGTTTGATTGAACCAGCTCCACTTCCTTAGAATTGATTGATATATGACAGCCATATTTGTTCAAAACATGTCAAAATGATTGGATAATTATTTAGATTCACAAAGTCTTAAGTAGTTTAACATCAATTTTAGGAAAGTTGTATAGGAAATTAGCTGTTTAGGTTAAGCTGTCCGCATTCTCCACCAAACTATGTAGGAGATCAGCAGATCAGAAGGGAAAATTTTGCAAACTTTATATTTTAATAGCTGATCAACTAATCTCCTACATATTTTGGTGGAGAATGCAGGCAGCTTAACCTAAACAGCTAATTTCCTATGTATTTTGGTGGAGAATGCAGGCAGCTTAACCTAAACAGCTAATTTCCTATGTATTTTGGTGGAGAATGTGGGCAGCTTAACCTAAACAGCTAATTTCCTACATATTTTGGTGGAGAATGTGGGCAGCTTAACCTAAACAGCTAATTTCCTACATATTTTGGTGGAGAATGCTGGCAGTTTAATCTAAATTGTAATTTAATTGTGCCAACATGCTGTGTGAATAGATGGAAAGTGATAACTCGGTTTGCTTCCCTAGTGTTAACCTGCAGTAAATCTTCATTTAATTCGCCCCTGTTATGACAAAGAAAGGACAGAATTGAGCATGTTCCTCAATTTCTTCCTAAAAGGCCTTATGTTATACCTAGATTGATACACTGCATGTACCAGTGTTATTCAGATAGCTATCTGACTCCCTGTTCCGAGCGAGGAATATCAGTCACAGTTAAACTGCAGTAATTAAAGTGCCCCTCTCAGGACGAAGAAATTTCCTCACAGTACGGTAAAGGTAAGAGTTGAGCGTGTTCCTCAGTCTCTTTTTAAAAGGCCTTATGTTATAGCTAAGTTGATGCATTGTGTGTTCCAATGCCAGTAAATTAAATATTTTACTCCCCAGGGTTAACCGTTAGAGTATTGAACTTATGCTTGTCCTTTTGTGTCTGCTCGCAGAGTAGTTTTGGAAGATATGTCTCTCATTGTAAATCTGTGTCTGAGTGTGTTTTGAATGTGAAGTTTTGTTTTAAAATGATAAAGTACTTTAAAGTACTTGATAAAGTAAAGTTTACAGAAATTTAAGATGCCGCAATTATTGGATTATTGTTATTGTATTAGTTGCAGTGAACCTGCCTCTTAAAGTTTTATCTCACTTTAGCAAACTGAGTTTTAAGCATCACGCCTTAAAGTGGGCTACAAGTGGTGTTTATTTGTGTAGCGTTGAAATGCGCCAACATTTCATATAAACATGCTTAAAGTGTGTGCCTCAAGCAGTGCGTTATAGAACTACTGTTTGTTTTGGTTGTCATAGCAACGATCAGGCCCGGAAGTCCTAGGAGACTCTTCTGGGGCAACTCTGAACTGCGCATGCGCTGTCTGCCGAAGCCATATTGTAAACTTCAAAACGCTCTTCCTAAGAAATCTGCATCCTGGAGTAAGCCATGACCTAAGTATGGCCTGCCCTCACATGATGACGATCCAACAGCTATGGGACCTAACCCAGGAAGCCTATAACAAACAGAAGATGGCCTCAAGGTGACAAAACATCTACAGTCTCCATTACCCAAGATCCAAGCCTGGCACTGGAAGACACCCATTGCCATGACAATGCCAGATTCCTCCATAAACAATGGAGAGAACCCATAACCAGCAAAGAATGGTACCCCCATGCATAAACCCAAGAACCGAATAAAACGCTGGAAAATGTGGAATCCAAGAAACCCATCTCGGCACTACTCAGACAGGCTCAGCACTGAGTATATACAAGAACAAGACACTCCACCCTCAGCTGACCCACAAGAACTGATCCAGCTACTGAAGGAGTTCCTCCAAAGAAACGAATCCTCCAAGGAACAGGAGGACATGCCAGAACTGCCTCACTGGACCAACTCCCAAGAGATCGTGGACAAGTTCTCGCAACAAGCTGACCCTCAACTAGACCCATTGAATCCAGACTAAGAAACACATGGGTCCAATAGATAAGAAAAACGAAGTAGCTAAACCAGATTGACACAGCTCAGACTGTCCATACACTCCACCACACTAACATGCATTTAAACCAACCTCCATAGGAAACATTCAACTGTCTTCCTGATAGGTAGAGCATCCCATAGTAGATAAACCTAGACACAGTTAAATCAACTTACTCTAGAGTATAGAGGTACACTCACATCATTATAGGGAAACCCCACTGTTATCAAGAGTTATTTTTCTTCCTTCCTCTTGTGATCACTGTCATTATCATTCCTTTCTCTTGCTTTCCTCTTTTCTTTTAGTAGGCCAAATGACCTAGAGAAAAAGAAAGAGACAAAAGCCAAATAATCATAGGATCACAAGTGTCATGAAGGTATCCCATAGACCGCCAAATAATTTAATTCCCCGCACCAGTTCTTAGCCAGTAATGGAGGTGCTGTCTTGATGTTTGTATGTGTGT